CTGATCGCATTAGCAACCAATCATACAAGACCTTAATTTTCAATCAATCCGATCCAATCTAGAAATGAACAGGGCTAATATATCTATTTTTAATATTTTTAGTGCAATTTTTTATTGGACAAGTATGTTAACTCAAAATCAATTTATAGTCTCGGAACCCACTTTTAATAGCAAAGCCCGTCATCCATGATAGTAAAAATAGATATTTTTTTATTAGTTTTAAAATTAAAAAAAAAAGCATTTTTTCGCAAGGAGAGCCTTTTTGCCAAATTAGTGTAACTAATAATCCATCCCTTATTAAAAAATTGATATTCGTGTTACTTGAACAGTCAATTAGAGTTACACGAAATATATTTATTATAAAATTGATCTGCGTGACAACTGTTACGGCATGATCGCAAAACTTTTTTATTAATATAATTAAGCAGAAACAAAAAGGAGATAAGCGAATTATAAGGATTACTAAGAGATACAAAATATTACAATACTTGCAGAACTTTATTCGTAATTACTATGCTAATATAATTAAGCAGAAACAAAAGGAAATAAGCGAATTATAAGGAGAAATTCATTTGTCTTTGATAGCAAATTAATAATTAATATCTCAAGGAGCCATTGATTTCCGTCCGTTTTTGTTCTTTTACCACCCATCCGCTTTGCCAGAATTATATATATTCCATGCCCAACAGTATCCCTGCTCAACGCTAGTCCGATTAACTAATGTGAATAACTTTACCCTATCAACTTTTTTTATAGCGTTATCACTTAGAATATAAACTCCCTCGTCGATATCTGACAATGTTTGTAGACATTGTCGAAATCTGACAATGCTTGTAGACATTGTCGAAATCTGACAATGCTTGTAGACATTGTCGAAATCTGGCAATGCTTGTAGGCATTGTCGAAATCTGGCAATGCTTATAGGCATCGCCGATGTTTGTAGGCATCATCAATTTTGGGCAATTAAATAAGGTAGGGGGATGGATTCTGAGGGTTTTTTTAGACTCGTTTCCGCGATGTAGATCATCATCCATATTTATGGTTACGTATTTGTCGAAATAGTTCTTCGACTTCACGTGAGAATTTGTTAAATATTTTTTTGTAAAAAGTAAAAGTAAGGGATGATGTGATTATTGTAAATGTTGGAAGGAAAGAACTAGTAAGGATCATCACATCAATCAAATCTATGGTCATTTAAATAGCTTTTTTTCATTAAATTTTTCCTCGAACTAAACGAACTAGAACCTTTTTTTTTTTTTTTTGCAACAATCTATTTCATTGCTGAACAATGTGAAAAGGACAGAACCAATCTCAGCTTGCATAAATTTATGTATAAATGATAACGCCCAACCCCAACCCCAACCCCAACGCAATGCATCTTGCATCTTACACAACTTCGAGAACCAATTATTTAACCGGAATCCTATTTCCGAAAATTCTGATAAAAACTTTGATTTGTTAACTTTTAGATTAATGGGAATGAACACAAACAAGGGGCATTACACAAAAAAATTTTTATAATGACAGATTTGGTTAGTTCGCTTAAGTAGCCGCACAATTTCGAAACCGGACTTTCCGAAAACTGTTACCTAATTTTATTATAAAATCCCTAATCAATCTTACCGAATTGTTTACCTTCTTCTCACGAAATAAAACTACATATTAGAAAATATAATTCCTTAACAAAAGAGAGTAAAAAAAAAAACCTTGGTAATGAAGTCGTTTAAAAAAAATACAAAGCGATTTCTCTTCTTGTATACATGTAATCAACATGTCAAAAGTACAATTGTAAAAAGTAATAACGTAAGTTCTTTAAGTCATTAATAAAAATATCTTTCATAATATTAAAATAAAAACGTACTTATTTGATTTTGTTTTTTAAAATAGTTGGGGTTTTATTGTAACTTTCCCCCTTTAGCCGCATCTGCTGGGGAAAGTGACAAGTTATCAGTTAGGGTATATGCGTATAGAGGTGGGGTTGGTGATTTGTTGGTGTAAAGAATTGTAGCAATCCCACCCTATTTGAAGAATTATTTTAAAATGTGAATTTATTCATATTTATTATAAAATGGAGAAGAAGCCATCAATACCATGCTGAAATGGCTTCTTCTCCCCCCCCCCCCCCCCCCAACCCCCTCCACCATCAACCGATAAGCCATACGTTTGGTTGTTACCTGAAATGGCTTAATCCAATCGGTAAATTTCCTCGACAAATTCACGACTACCTTCTCCTTCATCATCAACTGATCATCCTTGCCGACAATTCTATCGACCGGCAGCAAAATTAAAAACGTAGGGTTGGGTGTATTTGAATATAATGTGTATTTTTGATGTGCAAATATTAGTTGGATTTTTTTGGTTTGGGAATTTGGATGTTAGTTTTGGAGGAGTAATTTAGTAATTCCTTTGAACTTTTAGAAATTACGTGTATTTTTTTTAATGATTAAATAAAATATATCACCATTTTCGGCTATTTCAAAAATAAATATGATTAATGATTTTTTATATATTGATTGAACGATACGCATAACTATCTTGACATGAATTCATCTGTGACTAACAAGGTAGGATGTGACGGACGTGATAAATAACGAAAATTTTGTCGTTGTCCACTAATTTTAATACAACATATTTTTAATACAACATACGATTCGTTATTTTAGCTACTGTACAACAAATTTTATCGTCGAACAAAACCCCTTGACGATCGTTAAAAATGTTTAGTAAACAAACTCCTTAAATTAATTCATCATCCAAATTTCTAAAAATAATGGATTTACCAATTTGGGTCTTCCCAAATAGGGTTTCCCAATGAACATAAAAATAATTTGCATGTTTATTATTAATTAAACTTGGTAAACGCTTGGTGCAAATGTAACAAAAGGAACCAATCATGTATTGATTCTCACATCAGCAATTCATCCAATAAAATGATTTATTCACTAAACATTCAAAATTATGTGAAACGAGAGCTTTACTATGAATACAATATTGAAATATTGCTTTAAATATATCAAATCATTATATCAAATCAAAATAAAATTATTATTCAAAATTTAAACATATAAAATATTTAAATCTAATATTATGCTAACTCATTCAATCTATTTATATAGTTAAATAAAAACTATTTTAATTATATTGTGATATCTTATCTTAAAAATTTAAACTATTAAAATATCATTATCTTTCTTTGCTTATTTTTATATTTTGTTTAATATAATGACCTAGGATAGGATGGGGATCGGCTCTTCGGTTCTTCTTTGGTAAAATATGAACATGTGATGAAGATCAATTAGAAAAATTTGAAACAATTGTTGTTCATGACTGTCATAATTTTGATAACAAACCGATTTGAGCGTCAGTTCTATAGTCAATTCCAGAGTCAATTTCGGTTCTATTTTTAAAAACAGTTCCAAACTCAGAAGATTCAGATTCTGCTAAATTTTGAAATCGGTTCCAGAACTGACTTGAGTTGACTCATTTGAGCTGATATCATCCTTAAGGACCCAGAAACTTATAAAGATTTTCATAGAATTTTGACAATTTTATAGTAATTTTACCTAACCATTTTATTTTTAAATTTACCCTTGCATAATAAGGATTTAAAAAAAAATTGTAATATAGTTTACATTATTTAATATTTTAATATAAAGCAATTTTATTGTTTATTATATTTATTATTATTATGGTTAAGCATTTCAATATTATTAAATAATGAGTAAAGGTTAAATGATTCATAATCAAACATTAAAATATTATGGAATACAAATTAATTGGTTTTTTTAAAATAAATTACTTCTCTTGATGAAACATATGTAACCAATTTTTCAACACTTTTGTATTTATTTATCTTTATATAGTTCAAAATAAATATATAAAATAATACATTAATATTATATATACTTTGTGACATATAAACATATTTCTACTAATTGATTCATATATTATGATAACTTGAGTAAAAAAATATGTAAAATCCATTTTTTTTAAAGAATGGTTTATTGAAATATTTTTATATTCAATCATGCTTACTATAAAAAAAAATATTATTCAATATTTAAATAAATAATATAAAATAATAGAATATTTATTAACATATCAAACTTTATTTAAAATAGTAGTTTTTAATCTTTTTATTCTGATTAACAATTAATATACTAGTATTTTGTGTTATTAAATAATTTATAATATTTTATTCTAAAATATCATCTAATTTAATTTGTTATATCAGATTTATTTTCGATTTTATGTGATTTATCAGATAGAATTGTAAACATTTAAAAAATCATATAGAAGGTTTGTTAGGAAAATAGGACTCTAAGCATTTTTTATTAAATTTTAATTTTTATTGCATTTTAATCTAATATTATCAAAAACTAAAATGTAATAAAAATTAAAATTTTAATAAAAAAAGCTTAGAATCTCCTTTTCCTAACAAATCTTCCATATTTTCATTAGATTCATTAGAATTAAAATTTAATTCTTCAGATTCTTTTTAACTAATTACTATATATATTATTATTAATATATGATTAAAATATCAAGAAATTTAATTAAATTAAAATGCTCTATTTTGAGAGAAGTTTGTAATAAATTAATAATATTTTCTTTAAACTCTTCATTATTTTATTGTTCATTCTTATTAAACTTTAAATTATCTTTAGTTCTGCAAAAATATAAATCTTAACCCATATGCAAGTAAAACTTGACCTACTTGCCGATCTTATTATAAAATAATTGTTTATTTATATAGTGATTGACAAGTAAGTCAAGATTAATAGGTGATAGGTCAAGATTCATATATTTGTGTTTTTTTTTATAAAGCTCATCATATAATTTAGTAAATCTGAATAATTCTTTAACTATTTATTCAATTAAACTATTTTATTTTACAAATGTTTTATAATTACTATTGTAATTTTTTTCTGTAATTGATAAAGTATATAAAGATTAATTGTATTATTTATAATGCATTTTAAGGATATTTCAAAATTATTTGTAATTAAATATAATTCTAATTAAATTTGTAATATTATTATTTAATAATATATTTTAATATTTTTTCTATTCTTATTTTTTTTTTTGTAAAGACTATAGAAAATTCATTTGAAATAGTTACTGTATTTTCTCTAAAGTTAATAGTTATAAAAATTTCAAAAATATTAAGAGACCAGATTTTGTAATTATATTATTAAGTATATAAATTTTCTTTGTATATATTTTAAGTTTTAAAATATTTAAAATATGTTTCTAAAAATTTTAAAGATCTAAGCTTATATATCAATTATTATATAAATTATGAAATTATGTATATAGCCTATATTCTATATAAATAATAATAATATCATTGTATTATATAGTTAGAGAAAATTTATATCTAAAGACTTAGACCAATTTATATTTTCTAACCAAAAACTAATATTTTTGTATAATATTTCTTTTAATTCTGATTTTGATATACTTTAATTACATAATTTAATATCTTATTCAGTAAAATAATAGTTATTTTATTTTATTATTTTTTTTTAATTTTTATAATGAAAAAGAATTAGATTATGACTCTAATATTTCTATAATATAAATTAATGAATGTAAAATATCATTATATATCTTTATAATACTATTCTAATCTCCTTATAATTGATTAGAAATTTGCTAATAGAACAGTTTAAAAGCAAGTCTTTCAAATTATATATATTTTATTAAGATACTAAAAAATCTCTTTAAAGTATTATATAATTAATAATGTTATTAAAAATTTTATGAATGCTAGAAATATTTTATATATCATTTTTTTTAAAACATTTTTTTTTTTTGCTTTTTTATTAAATTTGGAAATATAAAATTTATTTTTATAAAAATCTCATTTTAAATAACTTTTTTCTATATAATTACAATTTTAAAATTCATTATTATAATTATTAT